CATCCCGTTTTCCCACATTCCTGCTGCTCTGCCTCTCGAGGCAGCCCCTTCCTGCAGGCCAGCACGCGTGGCGAGACGGTTACAGCAGCACACAGCCAGTGAATCACCTCCGAGTCTCTCTTACAGGGCAGAAATTGCATTCACAGATGGGACACTGACATAATTGGAGCACTCTTTTATAACATTCCAATAGATATTCTAACTGAAATGTTTCATCATTCATTTTTTGGAAACAGCCAAGGATAATAATATCCTAGAGCTTCTTTTCCACTACTGGCTTAATCTATTTTTTTAAACTATGATACCCGCATTCCTTTGGTTTGCACAGCAGACTACAGAACTTAATGGGAACGTGGAGATATGAGCAATTTTTCCATTGTCCTTTCTTGCCAAACCGCTTTAAGCCTGAAATTGGGGGGTAATATCTCTGACTCAACCTGACCCCAAAATTGAATGGTAGTGTGTGCAAGTGCGTCCCTTACAGGAAGTGCTGGAATATTTCCCCCCTCCACCGCCTCCCGTTCCTTCTTCTCTCCCAGCACTCCCCGCACTTCAGGCTGAGCAGCTCATCCACTGCAGTCTGAGCTCATTTGAAAGCGCTTGGATAAAGTCCACGTGCAAGTCCTGGTTGCCTGCTAAATTTCTGATGCTTGCCACATGGACCGTCAGGACTCTTTGGTTTTTAAGACAGCACGGATTTGTATTTTCTCTGAGTTTCAGCTGCTGAAGTGCAGCATTTTTAATAAACCCTTCCCTACCTCCTTTTCTTTAGAACTGTTTAATAGGAGCGTGCTGCAGTTTTACAGATGTGGTTACACGCCGTGTGGTCCTACCGACAATTAGCAGTCAGTGCAGTTCTGAGAAGAGTGTCTGTATCTTTTTTCAGCTCGGAACATCATCCGACGCCCCGCGTTACGGTGCAGGGAATACAATGGGACACTGTAAGGAGAAACTGAAACTTGGAAGCGAGATATTAGATCTGCAGTAGATTTAAACATTGAGAGTTACGCTAAGCGCTTTTTAAATCATAGTTTGTATTACACTAAAAAGTATTCTTAGCTTTGTTTTTGGATTTCTCGTCCCCAAGTACCCAGGTAGTCCAGCATTCACATACTTCTGAAGTTTATGAAAGCAAAGTGCTGCCAAGGGCCAGCTCTCGTCCAACTATGTGGAAAAGGAGTCCTTCCATTCTCCAGTTCCCTGAAATGGCAACACAATGTATTTCCAGTTATGCTCTGTGCGGAGGCTGCTGCAAGTATACGTGGCTGCAATTTTTGTTCCTGCTGCCAAGGACAGATTTTGCTTAACTCCTTGAAACACCTTTCTGGCTCATGAGAGCAGCGTTATAGAAAACCAGGAGCTGGTGCCGAGTCCCAGAGCTCCGGTGTGGCCATTGGGAGCCCTGGTGGGGGCTGGGGGCTGCACTGCTTGTGAGAGAACTGAAGGGAGCAAAGATGGAGGAGCTTTGTGGGGAGGAAGTGTTTCTTATGTGGAAAAGACGGAGTTAGGGAAAGCAAGTAGTATTTCTGGTCCTTGCACGCCGCATTCTAGCCTTTCTCTCCAGTCTTAATGGAAAACAAGTATTAGGAAGCATTTGTCACGTTGTTTGGGTTTTTCCTTTGATTTGGAGTGGCTGGATGCCTTTTCTGAGTGCACATATTGAGCAGAAGAGCCCACAGACTGCTTCAGCCTTGCAGTTTTTCTGCCTTTTCTTCACTGCAAATTATTAATGGTGCACTGGGTAGTATTTGTAAGTCATGTAGCTGTAACAGCTCAAACATCTTTTCCTAACTGTTCGCCTAAGAACCCGTGTTTCGGGTTTAAGTTAAACTCAGTCCTCAGAGGTCTCCAAAAACTGCAGCTGTCACTCAGTCTGTGTGCTGCAGCTGCTTGCACCCATTGATGGTTGGTTTTGTGCATTTCTACTTAGGCCAGATCTGCACTTTGTGGATTTAGATCACTTCTGCTCAAAATAACACATTGGTAAGTTCCAGCACAGCCCACGGGTGCAGCATTGTTACTCACACCTCTGCGCACTGGAAGCCTGTGGGAGCTGTTATTGCCATATGACCAGTGTCCTCACGTGCCCTGTGTGCACGCAAAGAGCAGGGGAAGCCATGCAGAGGTGTGCCTGGTGGCTGCAGCTCCCTGACATCTGTCAGGTTGTCTGCTGGGCAGAAGAGCCGACTCCTACAAACTGAGCTAATCCCTGCATTTCTCCAACACTTCTCTCACTGCTGTCTTGTCACCCTAATTCCTCGCCAGTGTCAGAATTTATGATTCGATGAATTAGCAGCGAAGCTATTTCGCATGACATGGTCCTCTTGGAAAGCAGAAGGTACATTTTCCATTTGTGGAGTATTACTAATTCTAGGAGTAGCTAAGGATAACTTCGAAACTTTACATTCTTAATGAGTTGCAGACCAGCTAGGAAACACAGGATAAAGGATCGGATAAAGACAGAGCAGAAGAGGGGGTCATTTCCCCATGCTCTCTGCCAGTCACCCATATCTTAATTTGAAAGGCCAATGTTATCGTTTGTGTCTTGTCTTTTTGTGGCTAATATAAATGATGTTATCCACTCGTGCTCCATGTGTTGTGAGCTGGAAGGCTGACAGCTCCCTTTAGAGCTAAGCCAAGATCAGCAAGTATATTTGGTTTTTCTTACAAATTTCACATAGAACAGCCAGTGATAAAAGCTTAGTGCTCCAGCAAATGGTAAGCATCATTTCAGAACAGATAAATAAATATGCCAATTTAATATATTTTGTTCTTCAAATTTAAACACTGGGGAACGAGTGGAGCCCTCAGACGCAGCAGCCCACGCTCCCCGCAGGGCCGCTCCCTGCGCACGTTCCTGAGGGCAGGAGCTGAGCCCAGCTGCAGCCTTCTGGGGGGGCCCAGCTCTGGGTCCCAGTAGCCATGACCGCTAATCACCGGCTGTGCAGCTTCCCTGGCTGCACCCGGCGGCAGCGCAGCCCGTTTCTGGCCGAAGCAGACGGTAAGGAACTCCAGAGCACGAGTGCCTCGTGGAGCATTAGGAATCGCTGCAGCAGATGAGGTAGACTTTAACTGTGGTCTCCAGCTGAACCGCAGAGAGACACTGGATCCTTTTCAGCGGAGCGCCGGCAGTCCCGCGGCAGGCAGGGAGCCACGCGGGCGGGAGCAGCCGCACACGGCGCAGGAGATGCACGCAGCCCCGGGCTTTGCACGCTGCTTGCACACGTACACGTGTGTGCACACAGCTGTGTACTGAGCATGCAGAAACCCCACTCCTTGTTGCTCCTGGCTGCTGTGGGGGAAGTTCAGACAGCGTGACGCGAGCATGCCGTTGTATTACTGGGTATATATACATCCGTCAGAAAAGCAAAAGCCATCGCTCTTTGAGTCTCTGCTGAGTTTAATATGGCACTGATTGCAGCGACATCCCTCGTTAATCTGGTGGCTGTGAATATGGAATAACAGCTTCTCTCTTTAAATCACGCTGCAGTTGTACACGTGTAGACAGAACACAGCAGTAGGGTTCCTGCTATTTCCAGCTAACCATCTCCCCCTGGACAGGTCTCAGAATAAACCTCAGCGCAGCAGGTCTGCAGGATCACCTGCCCCTCTGGAAGGTTGCTTCCCCTATCCCTAACCACATTCAAGTAAAGAACTAATGTCAGTAAGGCCTGGTTTCCCACAGCAGTGCCCTTGCAGTTGCCCTTACTTCCCTCCACAGCAGGGAGCGTCGTGCAGTGTTTGCACTCACCAATAGGTGCCCCTAACGCATCCCGGAGCTGCTGGCACGGGGCTTGTTGAGCGCTCTGCAGAAGCTCAGAAGGGGAACTGATTTTAAATAGTAGGAAAAGTCCAGTTCTGGTGCTGTGAACTGGCAAAGGACGGAGAAAAACAGTGTGATGAGGAGGTCATTCCCTGGCTGCCATATTACTGATAAAGGGGACAGGTTACAAGCCTACATGCTACTGATGCATTCTATGATTCTATGCTGAGATCCCTGTTGATGTGTGCTATGTAAGAGGCTTTCAATGAGTTTAGCCAGCAGCTTGAGGTCAGATTTGTAATGCAATTGATGTTGTCCTGCTAACAGGCTTAGCAAATGCAAACAGATAGAAGTGAATGCTACTACGCTTTTTTAATGGTCTCGGTCCCTCTGCCTTTGCCACTCCACTTTGTCCACAGACTGAGAGCATTTTTCAAACCCACAGACCCAATGACAGCAATGTGCACACCAGTAAAAGGGACTGTACGGACAGGTAAGCGAGGGAACAAAGTCCTCTGACCACAGATGCTGCCAACACACAAATTTAGGATCTCCAGGTGAAGTCACTGCTGGTGGCAGCAGCTGTTGGAGGGCAGCGGGCTGCTGGCAGGCAGGGCCAGCATGTGGGGCAGTGCCTGCAGAAGGTGCAGATGAATGGAGGCAATGTGGCGGTGGTGACTGAGGGGCAGTGGGGTGGCTGGCAGTGCTAGCAGTGTGGTCAGTGGGGAATGTGACGGGACCTTGTTGGAGAAATGCTGTTTGTGAGCAGGGCAGGGAAAGAACAGAGGCCTTGTGCAGGGTGAGCTTCGTGTTTCTATGGGCTTCCCAGTTAGAGGCAGGAGTCCCTGTGAGTGCAGGAGGAGGTGTGCCCAGAAACTGCCTGCTGGTGCCTTGCAGAGAGATCAGGGAGAACGAGGCATGGGATGCAATGCGCCTGGAGAAGGCAAGGGCAGCATCTGAGCTCTGGAGCTGCTGCAGGCCCCACCAGCATGGCCTGATGGCTGGGATGGGAGAGGCTGCATGCAGGACACGAAGCCGTGCTCAATGTGGGGTAAGAGCGCAGAGGGCGGTTCACCCCGTGGGAGCTCAGTGAGACTTCCCGAGGTTCCCCACACCACCGCCACCCCCAGCACTGTGCGAGGCCATCGGCATCCCCCACAACCCTGCGCTTCCCTTTCTCGTTTCACTTCCCCAGCTCCTCCAGCATCCTCTCGCAGCAGCCACCCTTTCCCCGGGGCCGGTACGGGCCGGGCAGGGCTCCTCCTCCCCGGGGGCGGCTCCGGGCGGCAGGTGGCTGCTCGAGAGCAGGAAGCTGCCACCGCTCGGCTCCTGATCCCCCTCGCGTGCGACCGCCGTCGGGGCAGCGGAGCCGGCCTCGGCGACCCCTGGAAGACGTTATTATTTTGGTTCTTTTTTGCCCTTTTCTCTCCCCCCACCCCCTTTTTTTTCCCCTGACTCCTCTCCACTTGCACTTGGAAGGATACCTCCGGTTCCCATCGCCCTTCGGGCTCCTGTCGCAGCAGGCCAGCCCCGGACGAGCCTCCCGCCCCGCCGCCGCTCGCCGGGGGTGGCCGCGATGAGCGCCGCTGCGCAGTCTGCGGAGCCCGACCCGCAGGACGGGACCCCCGGGCACTGCCCCGGCCCCGGTCCGGCCCGGGACGGCAGCCCGCAGGAGGAGTTTGATTTCTCTATCCTCTTCGACTACGACTACCTGAAGCCGATCGAAGGTTGGTGAGGAGCCGCCTCGCCCCGACGGGGCCCCGCTGCCGGAGCCGGGCGCTGCCCGCGGCCGCTCGGGGGTCCCCGAGGCGCTGCCGACCCCCCGCGGGGTCAGCCCTGGGCAGGAGCCCGGAGCGCGGCGCGGTGCTCGTGGGGCGGCGCGGTGCCGCAGTTGGCACCAACGGGCGGTGGCTGCCCCGAGCCCTGCAGGGTGACCGAGCAGCTGGGGGATGGATTTCTTATTAGTTACAAAATTGGTGCACGTGGGAACTTGAGCCCAGCGGTGAGAGACGAAGCAGAAGCACTCGGCTCGGTTGGTCTCCTTGTGAGCGTCGTCATCGTGCTGGCGGGTGTGCTGGGAGCCGGCGCAGGGCGGGAGCACGGTGGCCTGGGGGGGCAGTCAGCTCCTGCTCCGGGTTCAAACACCGTACACTTACTTCAGCTTTAAAACAAGAAAAGTCAGTCTGTTCTACTTCCCCGAGCTGATGCAAGTCTGTGGTATGACCAGCACGGTGATGTGTTCCCTGGCTTTCTAAATGGTACTAAAAAGTAGTGCTTCCTATCCCATGAAATGCAGGTCTGTGTGGAGCAGATGAAGCCAAAAGAGGCAGGACCCAGGGGATGGATTGCCAGGAGGTCGTTTGTAAGATATGTTGGTTGTGGTTCTGCAGAGCTGAGGAGGTGTTTTGTGAGGGCGTTTGTGGAAGGAGACCATTAGGCCTGGTTGAGCTGTCCTTAGTGAAATGGAGAGTCCTTATGGAGGTGCTCTTTGCTCACCTGTTCACACACACAGTCTGTGCCAGCATGGCAGCTGGGGAAGGGTGGGTGATGGCAGCAGATGTACAAAGCTGAGTGTTGTTTTGAGGTTCGATGTAGATCAAACCATACTGAAAGAAATCCGGAATGGGAAGAGGTCAGAGATTTTAATGGAAATACATTCAATCTCAGTGAAAACTTCAGATACTGGTTTTGGTTTGGTTTTTTTTTCACGACTTTTATTCTTTCTTCAGTATAGATTCCTGCTGTGGGGCATGAAGTGGGAAGTTCCACAGCACATAATAATGCGTAGGTGGGGGGTAGAAAGTTTTAATCTTCTCAACCGCATAAATGCGGAGCAATGTATGCTTGGAGTAGAAGTAACTTCCTTCTTGAGCCTGCTTTCTCCCCATCTGAATGACTGGAAACCATAATTAATAGTAATTTTGTTTGTTCCAAAGATGGAAATCATTAGCATTTAAAAAAAAAAAAAAAAAATCACAACCATATATACCAGCATTGTAATCTGGAGAGCATTCTCTCTCGCTTTGAAAAGCGCCAGGCAAAGTCTGTAAGCAATCCAGTATACATCCGTGACCTTTCATGTACAAAAGATTAAAGCGTGTTTACACGAGAACAGAAAATGTTCAAATTTTGGGGAAGGGCTTTGTCCACATGCTGGTGGTAAATGATGCTCGTTGTTCATGTGAGATTCTGGCCTCATCTGAACTGCAGTTGGGAAAACAAGTCCTTTCTGTGGAGGATTCAAAATGGAACCAAAACCATAGGAGTGTCTGAGGATCTCAGTGCTGCAGTCTGCATTCAGAGCCCGTCTGAGCGGCCCCGGTTTCCTCCGAGTCTGGGCAGCTCCACCCACCTCGCAGCTCCTGCAATAACAAATCTCTGCAAACACGCTCAAAGTCGTCTTTTTTTTTTTTTTTTTTTTTTTTTTTTTTTAAAGTAACAACAGCAACCATGAGGCTCTAGGAGTGGGCTGGGAGAGAAAAGCATTTCTGGTGAATGTTTTCAAAGTCTGTGATTTGATAGTATTCACTTAAGCTTATGTTTTAAAGGTAGGATCTGTATCACAACTTGTTGTCATGGGAATGCCAGAAATATTCTTACTGAAAGCTGCTGGCGTTCAGGAGTGCTTATGTGTGCCTGAGACAACAGGAACAGGGACTGCTATAAAAGCAACAGGGGAAAAAGAGTCAATAAAAACCCTACGGTCAATATTATTAATATTAGATATTCCTCATTAAGCCAGCTGTTTCCATAAGCAGGAGCCTTGTACCCGGTGCCATTTTCCATGTGCCTTTTCCCATCCTTGCCAGATGTGGTTTAGACATCTGCTGCACTCCCCAGGCAGGCAGGATGGGGATGGGGACAGGGATGGACGTGGTGCTGGAGCTGCGGGGCGGCTATCCCAGCTGCCAGGGACTCGTGGTTTCACTTGGGCAAGGAAGATGCTTTCTGTCCTGTCAGAGAACCTGTTAGATTCGCTTCCTTCCAAGAGACACATGGAGGTACTGCTGGTGGCATCCCAAGGTTTATCTTATTTCAATCTGGAGAGGAGCTGAGTGTTCCTCAGAGCATGCAGGCAGGTTCCAGCTCCCTGCGAGAGGCACAGCAGAGCTGAGGAGAGCTTGAGCTTGCTCCTGCGCACGGGGTTCCCACATGAACACGTTCTGATGGATGTTCTGCATATTGTGCAGCACTCCCACGCTGTCTCTCCACTAAGAGAGGCACAGAAGTGAAAAGCCAGACTGCCACTCTGGGTCAATTCTTGTATTTTTGGTCTGTGCTCACCGTGGATGGGATGATGCACAGGATGAGAGTTAAACCAGTGTGTCATTTGTTACACCTGAGGTTACTGTGGAGTGATCCTTTGAGCGGTGTTTTGAAATTCAAAATGCAAACAAAACCCACCTTATAATCAGGTTCCACGACAACAGGTGAGAGCAGCAGCTGGAAGTTTTCCTGCCAGGACCGAGCCCTGCCTGTAGCTCAGCAGCGCTGCTGTTACATGTTGCAATAAGGATCTATGAGGAAGCGGCTGTGTGCGTATCCTACATGGAGGGGAAGCAGGGAATGTTTGTAAACGTTACCGTTCTTCTAAATGTTTGTTTGTGCATAGACAGACCCAGGGATATTGCCACCTCTGGTAGGTGTCACAGCCCAGATAGTCCTTCCTTTCCTCCCCAGTACAAAGCTACCAGAAGGGGAAGAAGGGCTTGCAGCTCGGTGCTGCACCTGGCTGGGTAACACAGGGCACAGTGTTCTGCAGCAGCCCTTCAGTAAGGAAACAAATATGCACATGTAGCAGAGAATACCAGATTTCACTCAGGAAACCAACTTTCACTTCGAGCTTCCAAGCAGTCAGTGTAAATAGCAGAATGCTCAGCTTTTGAAAACCGCCACGAGCTTGGCACTGGCCCTTTGAAATGACAATATGCAGCTTAAAAACTTTTGGACTCTCTTACAAATAAGTAACTTCATTTAAATTACAGGAGATGCGCTGCTGCAAATGGATGAGGACAAAGCTGTGCTTCTCCCCTGACTCCCCCTCCCGCACACAGCTGCTACCCTCAGCCTTTGTTAGGTGATGATTTGTGTAAACCCATCGTGGAATGCAGTTGCTCTGATGATCTGTTAATCCTTGGTTTCATGCTAATTGGGGAGGTCGCATTTGGCTGACAGAATGGCTTTGAGGCTGCTGCCTTGTGTACTTTTAAAAAAGTAGCAGACGGTGGGCCACTGCCACCCCGAATCAACACGCACAGGGACTCAGAAATGCCTCGGGGCCGGCAGGTCCCAGCACTGCGTGTGAAAAGGTGAAATCCTTTGGAACTTCAGTCCGTTGATCTTTTCCACCCGTGTTTTAACTCTCCTTGTTAATTGCATCTGATGAGAGCACCTGGGGAGACTGCGGGGCCACGTGCTGGGTAGTTGAGCTGCTGGTAGCAGTCGTGTGTCTGCAGCGTCTGGTGTGCTGTTTATTTATTGCATGGGAGCATGCAGAGCTCTGCTTCCTTTTGCTATTGTGAGAGGAGGAAAGACCGTCTTTTGAACAGTGCGTAAAGACTGCGGGGCAGAGCGGCAGCTATGGAGTGTCAGCGTGGGTGCAGTGCTGCGGGGCTTGCAGCATCCTGAGCAGGGCTGGGACTTACTGAGCCTTGGGGGTCCAGAGGGGGTGTGACGGAGTTTGCTGACAGCTCTCACTGAAGCTGACGGGGTGCGAAGAGGTGCAGTGTTGCTTGGATGTCAAGCTTTCCTTAAACTCCCTTTAAACGAGAAGGACGTTTTGTTGGTGAATCAATGGGTGATTCAGCAGCAAAAGCAAAGGCTGAGAAGTGCCCAGGGGAGGGGAGGTGGGGAAGCACTGTAATAACACGTGTGGCGTGGAGTGCCACAGGAGTTGGTCGCTCCCTGTGACGTCTGTCCAACTGTGGTCAAAAAGCTGACTGCAGGAGGAGCTTGGTCTGTATGCTGGGATGCAGGAACGGATGCATCCTTGGAGATGGCAGAACCCGGGGTGCAAAACTGCATGTTCAGAGTTCCCACGTGATGGTTTTAAAGCTTGAAAAACGTTCTTGAAAAACGCCATTGTTCTCTTGGTCCCAACAGCCCTCTTGGAGGTGATGCAGTGGCCCCTCACCTCCTGCTGGGAGGCGGCGGGGCTGCTGCCCGCCACCTCTGGGCGGGGTTTGCTGCCCTCTGCTCCTGGGGGCAGCTTTTCCTCCCCACCTCGTGGAGATGCACGGGCACTGCTGCCTCCCCGGGCTGCTGCACGTTCTTGCTGGTGCGGCAGAAGGGGAGCCTTTCCCTACACCCCGCTTTCTCTCTCCCTGTCACTGTTTGGAAGAACAAACCCGTGGTGTTTGTACGTGGGTCCCACAGCTCAGGCTGCTCAGTGCTTTGGCAGTGAGCTGAGCAGCCAGCCCTGCTCCTGCTGCAACGCAAACCAAAACTACTGATTTCAGTGGCAGAGTTCTATTTCTGGAATGCAGCGCTTGCTGCTTTGCCCAGCCGCCCCTTTTCCCTCCCGGTGAAGTCAGAGTGTTGCGCTGTAGCATCACAGGCGTGGGCAGCAGTGCCTGGGACAGTGACTTCGCCACAGCAATGAAGGAACGCAGGGCCTGGGACTCTCCCAAAAAGCCTTCATCCTGCAGGGACTGGAGCTCCGGCGCTGAGCCTCAGCCCCGTGCAGCCCAGCTACTGCCTGCAGCCCAGTCCCATCCCAGTGCTGCTGCCTGCTGTATTGATAACTTGATGGTGGGGTGGGGGTGGGGGTAGAGAAATATTTTTGCTCTGAGGAAGGCTGTGGGTGTTGTCTGCTTGGCACAGGGTGCCTGCTGTGCTCTCTCCCTGCTAGCAGTGTGAGCAATCTGGCTTTGCGTGGCCACGAAGCGCTGCAGTGCTGTGAGGAATGCCATGTGGAGGCACGGTCCTGTTGCAGCTTGTTGGTGCATAAGTGGGGTTATTGACATCTGGAGCATGGATCTTCCTTGGGAGGGTGAATATGAATGGTGAAAGTGCTCATTTAGACACAGTATTTCAGTGAAAAGCAAAGCTAAAGTCATTTGAGGGCTGATTTTTAATGAACAGAAAGAGGGGGGGGGTTGTTTGCAACACCTTAAAATTACACATGCACATCCAAATATCTTGCTGCTTTCCCCACACCCCAGTGCCAGTCCCAACACACCAGCCTCAGTGCTTGGCACGAGCTGTGAGGAGCTGCAGTGCTGTCCCTGCTGCGTGTTGCCCAGCAGCCGTGGCACAGATAAGGAGCGGATGTGGGGCAGCTGCTGCTGGAGCTGCGGGGAGCGGGGCGGCTCTCATCCTTGGCTGAAGCTGCGAGTACCATGGCGGTGTGAATCTCATTTCAAGCCTCGCTCTGTTTGGTGCTAATTTTGCTTTATTGCACCAATTTAAATCTGAGTTATTCTTCTGAAAGAGTGGGAGTGATGTTTTTGTGACTGCCAAGAGGTGTGCTGCTCTACTGAGCCCTAAGGGGGGATGAGCCACACGAATATCTGGGTATGATGCAACAGAATCTGGGTGATGTGAGTGACACGTGAATTCCCACGAGAGAGATAATGATGCGAAGAAGTGTGCTGCTCCAAGTTCAGTTACTTGCTGCTTTTTCCCTACCCCCCCCCCCCCCAAGAGCGATGGGCCAGGATTAAGTGCCAGAGGGAACCTTAAAAGCTCTGCAGACTGGATTCCCAGTCATCTCTGGTTCTGTCCCGTGTAGACTCTGTGTGTGGCTGTGGTTGGTTGTCTTGTTGGTGTTTTTCAATAAACACTATGCTCAGCAGTTCCTGTGAAATTGCTCTTTAAACAGAGTTTCAGCATTCAGCACAAAAAGCAGCAGCAGTCCGTGCTGAGGCTCTGTCTTCATTTGCACACTCTTCAGGCTGAGTTCATTTTACCAAAAGCTGATGAGTCCCATACTTGGGAAATGCTGTCATTTTGGAGGAGAAAATGGGGTTCATCATCAAAAAGTAAAGGTGGCTTTGAACTTTTCCTTACATTTGCTACAAACCCATCTGTGGAGGGTTTTGCTTCTGCATTCAGAAGAATTCAGTAGTGAAAACTAACAGAAAACTCCTGAAATTAAATCACGGTCATTGTTTGTGGAAGCATCACTACGGGCTTCTCTGCTTTTGCACAAAGTGCAGTTGTCTTCAACCTGGCTCTGCATGCAATGCACTGCTCATGGGAAATGCTCTCTGGTGGGAGGTGGAGATGTTGGAGCTGTTATTTGAATACTTCAGCGAGGCACTCCTTGTGTGGCACACATACTGATTTCTGATCGTCCCGTGCTTCCTTGTACTAAACTTGTCACTAAAACTCATTGGGGTAATATGGACTTAAACAGGTGGCTTTCTATTGTAAGAACTTGAACTCAGCATTGGTTTTATGAAGTCTTTTTTTTTTTTCTTTTTTTTTTTTTTGCTGGGATTTGTTTTGATGTGTAAGAAATATTTTTCTCTCCATTGAAAGCTGTTCCTCAACATTTTGGTTTTATGTAGACTTACTTGGAAGGTTTCACGATGTGATGGTCTCGCTCCAGCTCATAGCTGATAAAAGTTGACCAGAATCACAATGCCCCAATTGGTGCTAATGGGTATAGTTGTCCAAATGAACAGGGAGGCCAGCAGAGAAGCCGATGTGTTGTGTACCCCTCCAGGTGACCCCTCTAGCTCAGGGCTCGGGTCGTGGGAGCCCACAGGGCAGCGTGGAGGTGCTGGCAGTGCTTCTGTCCGTGCCTCATCTGCTCTTGAGCTTCCCTGGCTGTTAATCCAGTACTTTTCACAAGTATTAATTGCAGTTAAAAATAATTAAACAAATATTTACCTAATATCTGATCACAAGCAGTATATAAATATTGCATATTTTTAATCCGCGATTGCTCAGCTTCTGTAATAATATTTATAGTCTTAAAGAGACCCTTCTTTTTCCAGAAGAACCGACTCCACATATAACCAACAGCCCACCCTCTGGAGTTGCATACGCTCATGATGTCTTGGACTGTGGCCTCAAGCCATGCCCCCTGCCTTTTCCTAGCCTTTCTGCAGATCCCATGGGCAGATATGGACAGCCAGATAGCATAGGGACAGCACCTACGCACCCTGCCAGCGCCGCAGGGGCCTCTGCTCCGAGTCCTAGGATTGAAATTACTTCATATCCTGAACTGATTAATTCAGGGGGTCCCTTCCGCAGCAGAGACACAGATGTTCTTTTGGTAGAACATCAGTCAAACTCAGCTACCACTAGCCCAAGGGTTACCCTGCCTGTCCCTGGCTATGAGGGCTACAGAGAACCACTGTGTCTGAGCCCAGCTAGTAGCGGCTCTTCTGCAAGTTTCATTTCAGAGACAAATTTATCTCCTTGCACATCACCATGTGTTTCACCAAATAATGGTCCTAGTGATGACCTTTGTCCGCAGTTTCAAAACATCCATACTCATTATTCTCCTAGAACCTCTCCAATAATGTCACCACGAACAAGCATCACGGAGGAAACCTGCTTGGGACAACATTCACCATCACCACGTCCCAACTCAAGGTCTTCATCACCAGGTGCAAAACGGAGGTACTCTTGCACTCAGCAGCCTTCCACCTCTCCACGACAGTCAAGGACCCCCTCTCCACAGTCCTCTCCACGCATCTCCCTGAGGGAAGACAGCTCTACACTTACTTACACGCAGTTGTCCAGCGCTCCTCTTTCCATGGATGCTATGAACAGCCTTCCTACAGATCCTTCCTGTGGCGTTCCCACCAAAATTTGGAAAACCAGCCCTGACCCTTCGTCAATGCCTTCCCACAAAAACAGCATTCCGTGCCACGTCTTTCAGACTGTTGACTTCCACGGGCCCTGCGAGCAGGAGGACAGGAGAAATTCAGCTCCAGAATCGATTTTGTTGGTTCCTCCATCCTGGACAAAGCAACTGATGCCAGCAATACCTATCTGCAGGTATGTAATGCTTCTCGTGGTTGTGGGTTGTCTGATGGTGTGGTGTCCTATCCCATGCATGGTGATCTCTAGGGAGTATTTCCCTGGGCAGATCCTGCTGTAAAGCAGAGTTATGTGCTTAGGGGCAGCGAAGGTTAATGGCAGTCCAATTCATTATGACTGTGGGGGATGAAAGATGTGGGTTTGAAGAAACGTTGTTGGAGTGATTCATTGGTACTGCGCCATGCAAAAAATTCACATTAGTTTGCCTAACTGTATAAAAAGTGGAAGCAGCCCTGGTGAGGTCTTTGATGGGCAAATGTATCAGGGCTTTGAGAAGTAAAGTGCTGAAAACTTCAGCTTGCCTGTCTCTTGTGCCCAGCTTGCCCGTCCAGTCTCTGCCGCCCCTCGAGTGGCCGCTCTCCAGCCAGTCCGGCTCCTACGAGCTGCGCATCGAGGTGCAGCCCAAGCCCCACCACCGCGCGCACTACGAGACAGAGGGGAGCCGCGGGGCTGTGAAGGCCCCGACTGGAGGCCATCCTGTGGTCCAGGTAAGGACTGGAGAAGAAATGCATGGGGAAAAACGGGCTGGCTTGTGGTGGAAAGTTGTGCCGGGGGCTGACCCGGAAACAGGGAGCTTGTGGCTCTGTGTGTGATTGTGGATGTGCGTGAAATGCCTGAAGTTGGATGGTGGCAAGGAAGTTTGAGAAGTTGGTTTGGATTGGCTTATGAAAACTCAGAAACTGAACAAAAATATTTGCTACTTTTTCTGGGCTAAACGTTGAATTCCTGTGATCCAGCTCTGTCATAAGATGTGAAGATGACCTAAATTCTAACTGAGCGCATTTTACCTTGAAAACAGCTCTCTGTTGGTTAGGGTGTTTTGAGATGCTCAAGATGTAAAGATATCATGCCTGGCTTTCAAGCTCAGAGACCAACCAAGCTGAGATTTGAAATCAATAGCAGATTGTGTTAGATTTGCAGTACTTTGGATGAATGTTTCAGAGCCTTGATGCCCCGGGCTCCTGCAGAACAAGTTCCCATGAAATGCAGGTCAGAGAACCTCACCTGTGTGTGATTCAAGCACTTGTTACATTATTTTCAGTCTAGCACCTGCTTTATACGTAACTTAATGATAGTTTTGCTCATCATCTGTGGTAACCTTTTTGTCCTGGATATGTGATACCAATAGGAAATGGTACTAGATGTAATTGTGGTGTGATAAGGAGATAGGAGGGGGGATGAGCTGAAGAAAACGCCCTCTTTAAAGCTGTGGCTATAGAGAGGATGTGTTGACCAGCTTTGTAACTCTACAGAGAAAGGATGAATGAGTTTATGCAGGAGCTCCCTCCTGGATTGGATTGACTTCTGTACAGGCACAAAATTTTCTATCTCTGAGACTTTGCTTATAGTGCTATGAAAACTCTGGTTCTGGTCCTACCCACGTTTGTGAGAAGGGAATTAGTGCTACTGAAATCAGCAAGTCAAATCCAGGCTGATAGGGGTGAGGGTAACCAAATTTAGCTGCAGCTGATCCATGGAAGGGCTTCTTCACTGTGCAAAGTCTGTGGTAAAGAAATGGCTGAGTAGCTGGACTGTAGCCATTTGGGGCCACATCAGACTTTTCACTCATTTCCTGCTCATTTCAGGCAGTATCCTTCAGGAAGGAAAGCCAGGCTTTTGGTCAGGGTTGCACCGTATTGGTGTGATACTGCTGGTAACTGCATGGCACCTGTCTGGCACAGCCACAGCTACAGTTTTCAATAAGCAAAGTTGGGGTGCATCCTACAGCTGTTCCCATTGCACTCATGACTTGCTACAGAAGCCCAGGCCAGGAAAATGCTGATGTTTCTGCTCAGTTTTAAGCATGTGATTAATACTAGTAATTTCAGAGGGTTGATTTGTGCTTGACTTCAAAGATATGTTAAATATTACCCTCAGCAGGCTCAGCCCCTTTTAAAATCAAGCCATAAATTGTTAAATCAATGAATGTGTTTACTTTGGTTGAGCTGGACTTGTGTATGTAAACTGGATACGTAAGGGTACAGCGTGATAATAAAAAGCAATCACCATATCACCATCAAATTTGCCGTAACTTAGTAGGCAAGATTCTTCTTAATTTATAAATCTGACAAGCTCATAACCCACCGTGGTGTGTTGGCAGCTCCGTGGATGTGTGAACTGTACATGCAGTCAGCACTCGGTCGTTTCTCAGTTGCTTACAAGCAGTATCATTTACCTTCCCAGGATGTCTCTAACCTCTGGATGTTTATTGCAGTGAATGAGTTTCTTGTCACATGGGTAAATACAAGTGTTTTGTTTCCTTCCTGTAATCAATATTAATCAAAGAGGGATTTATATTTTCTGTTGGAGACAGGAACTGATATTCCTACTTTTATCATAATTTGCCGTCAAGCTTAAGGATCTTAAACTGTGAAATCAAAGATCCCTGTTAAAGTCTCCCAAGCAGATGTGCCTCTGCACAGCTGTGCCTGCATATGGGGGAAATATGGACAGTTTTTTTATGAAGGTTTATTGTAAACCTGGAAGTATTTGTTGGATCTCTGTTCACTTGAATGTAACAGAGTTCATATGGGTACAGAGCACTGAGATAGTTGCACCTGTACAGTTTATGACATCTGAAACTCATGAAGGCTAGTAAAATCCAAAGCTTTCATGTCATAAGTTATTTGGCTTCAAGGCTTTTTTCCTTCTTCCCCCTCAGTGCATTTTAACTTTCGTGTTCCAGTCAGATTCCAATATTACAGCCACAGACAAAATGAAACAGAAGAGATTTCTAGCACTGTGCAAAGTGCACATGAATTTCAGGCAACCGATTGCAAGGAAATTGAATTACGTTACTTTTCAACAAGCTGTGTCTGCTTTCAGCCCCGTTGCAGAAATGCAGTGTTTGCCTGGGGATGACAGGGCTGCACTACTGTGGCCTTCAGACCTGGCGCTGGGACCTGGGCGTGCTTTTGAGATGTCATTATTGAGCACACCAACCACTCTTGGGTTGGTTGGGGTTTTTTTGAGCACTCAGACCCCTCTGTGCCAACCTTCTTGAGTCCAGCACTGTCTCTTAAACTTTTGGACTTAAACACTGAAGAGCCAAACGTGTCCTGGGTCCCTGAGCCCCACGGTGGTATTCATAGAAAGAGTGACCATCCCATTCGTGTTACTGCGTTTTACACCGCTTTTGATAGATTGCTATTCATCTGCTTTGATTACTTTTTCTAAATTTTAATATATATTTTTCTAATTTCCTGTTAAATTAACCCTTTGTGTGGCTCATTATGCAACTGAGCCTTCTGGAGGAGGAAATGCAGGTTAGTTTTCACAGTTTGATCTTGGTCTGCAATATTTATTTTTTGGAAACTAATTTTGCATGCAAGTTTCTTCTTTTGGGCACTCTGAAGATACAAAGCAGCAGATCTCACATCCTCCAGGCCTTATCTTGTGGTTTATCTTTCTGATGCTGCTTCCTCCTCTTCACATGTCTAGCCCCGAGAGTTTGTGCTCTGCACCAGTTGTGCAGTCCAACTTTGGCGGGAGAAGAGTCCGATTAATCAAAGTGACAATTTAGATGGGCCAAGCAGAAGAGGCCATTTGCTTTGTTTACCTGGGGAAGGAAGAGAGAAGGCGTTAATCCCATATAATGTTCACAACATCTAACTTCAGAGATCATCTAGAGACATGGAGAAGTGAAGGCTCCCAGTTCAGTTCTGAATCACTCTATGAAGGAAACTACAGCTTGCTGTCAACTAAAGTGAAACTTGAGCCTTTTAGAGATGTTAGTTGAATGCCAACATTTTTCTAGTCTAAGTGTCCCCTGGATGTCAGATCACTGAGAACAGCAAGGAAATCCGGAGTAGCAGGGACAAAGCAGAAGTTTGCACGCACGTACCAAAACACCAAATAGGTGTTTTTCTCCTTTGCACATGGGAAAATGTGGCAATAAGAACCTCTGTGCTTCAGGGAGACAGATTTTCAATTCTTCAGCAGAGATGGTGATGAAAAGATATGACCTGCTTGATAGGAAAGGCTGGGTATGAATGAGCCTGTGGTCAAGAAGAGTCTCTGGTCCCTTAAAAGCCATACAAATTTAGAAAGCTCAGTGGTTCTGCTTTTGTCCCATTGCTTTGCATGAAGGCAAACTTTTTTCATGATTGAACTGAAGTTATACGTAATTGTGTGATATTTTGGGGAGTTCTAAGTAGAGCCCTTGTCCTTCCTTCAAGGCAAGAGAAAGGAGAAGGAAAAGCTTAAAAGGAAGATGAGCAGTTGATTTGTGCAGGTCATTATCCACGCGCTCTGGATAGTTGGATCTGTGCTTGCTTCATTAGAAATAGTTGTGTTCTGAAACACTTAGGTCCTTGTAGGTGGTCAGATAGATAACTGTGTGCTTTACTGCATTCACCTAAAGCAATTGAGAGTAGTGACAAAGGGCATCAGTTTCCATTGTGCATCTGCCACAGTCTATAGAGAGGCCGAGAGATATTATTTTGTTAAGAATCTGTTTGAGAAACTTGTTTCTAAGTTTTTTTTTCCCAGTTGCCCATGTGTTTTGGACTTAGCTTGCTGTAAGCAGTCCCTGGGGAAGCTGTGTTTTACACAGCTCTTCAGCACAGTAATTTGTAGTAATTTTCTCAAAGGAGCGTGCCTAACTCTGACATTTTGTTTTTATTGCCATCTTAGCAAAGCCTTCCCCTGATAGATTGCTTCTCTAATTTATCTTTACAAAAGGCTCAAGTCTTTCTGAATGAAAACAAGCACAGAAGCAGTCAGTAACTTCTTTGCATCTCTCATTTAGTTTTTCATACTCTCCCCATGTTAAGTTTTTCATCTACAAAGCTGTCTTTTCCACTGCTTGTGTCAGATAATTCAGTCAATTCAGCACAACCTGAGACTGCAATTTGCAGAAGTATCCAAGCACCCTTGTTGCTGGGGCTCTGATTTATAAAGGCAGCACCTGGTTCATGGCGCGCAGCCTGAGCTGACGGACAGCCATGGCCACAGTTGGCGTGGGCTGGGCCTACCCAGTGCTCAGGGGCACCGGGAACCTTTGCAGAGAGCAGCTGGTGGTTTATCTGTGAGGGCAGCATCAGAGGACAGGACAGGAGCACTTGTAGCAGCATTGCAGTGGTTTGGGTGCTCACCGGGAAGTGGCAGCCCCACACTTGGGCCCTGCTTGCTGCAGACCCCAGCGACATCGCACGCGTTCCCCAGGCGGCTTTCTTCTGCCTCCTCGGGGCCCTCACCCCACGGGGCACAGCTCTCTGCGACTGCTTCCCCTGCTGCCAAGTGCTGGGGTCAGGGTTGAGTTGAAGGCAGTCGGTTAAACTGAGCAGAAAGGCTGAGAGAGAGAAAATTGCACAGGGTCTGTGCTTCAGACTGGAGCACCTGGGCCACCTCGTTCTCCCATTTCGTCCTTGGAGCAGAAGGAACCTCAGGCAGTCTAACACTGGAGCCCCTGCCTGCTGCCAGTGCCCTGAAATCACCTGGGAGCTGTAGTTATTTAAAGCTGATCAGGTCCTCAGCCTCCTCTGTT